GCAGGGAAGAAATGAATTCCCATGCACCTTCAGTTGCCCTAGAGACAAGGAAGTTATTATCTTTTTAACTTTTGCAGTCTCGATTGGGCAAGATTGACGCCAGAAGGTTAGTAGAATTCTAAAGAGGATTAGAATGTTCTTACGGTAATAGCATCCACGTTCAGCAAAATCAAGCGTTTACAATGACCACTGGTGATATTTAGAGCAGTAGGCATTTACTCTGAAGTCAGTTAGAACATTGTCGTAGGAGTGAGTTACCTAGTAATGGTTGATTATAGAAGGTTTTTTTGTTTCAGCCTCCCTGAGAGATGGTTGGCACTGGCCATGGTCACAGAGAGGTTGCTGAAGTATGTTAGCATCTCACTCGGTGCAGTGAAATGGGAAATACTGGCTCCCTTGAAGGCAGCAGCCTACAGCCAGAAGTTTTACCATCCAAGTTTTCCAGGAGCATGGGAATTATTGCTCTTCTGGGCACATCTTTCTCAGAAATTGAGACTGGGCCACAAATCTCAGTAATGCTTAGACTGGGAATGCCTGGCAGAATGGAACAAATTTGCATTAAGTAGCTTGTTCATTCACATTCTTACCATTGCTCTGGCCTTTTGATGAGGGGAGAGACAAAAGGAAAGGAGAAAATAGGGACAGAGTTAACTTTTTTTTTTTTAAAATTTCCATTTACATTTTCCTAGCAGAAAATGTGAAGCTTGTGTTGCATCTAATTCCTGTTGCATGCGTGTGAGAATCACGCTCTTGCTTATGTGTTCTTCTGCCAGTGCTTAGAGAACATTCCAAGTGGAGAATGTTCCTTCCTAAATGGAGTTTATTAACCTGCTAGGTCAATAGTATTTTCCTTCTATGTTTTCAAATCGATACATAGTGTATGTGTGCTGCCAGGGAATGATTAATGTACGTACAAACATGAAAAAAATGTCTTTAATATTGGAACCCCAAAGCATCATTTAGCAAAAGATGAGGTTAATATCTTGAACTGAATGCTGTGCTACATGTGAGTGCGGAATGGGTGCTCCTTGCTCTTTAGAAAAGTAACTAATTTTCATTAGATCTTCTTGCTTAGTGTTGTTGATTGAAATGATTGGGAAATACAAACCATTGAGAAAACAGTATCGATATTTTAAAATTTTGAATTGTAAATGCATTTTTAAAATGTGTTTATTGTTTAAGGTGAAAGATAGAATTTGCTTATATTGATGCATTTGAAAGTCATTATAGAAAATTGAAGAAATACAGGCTTTTGAGTCAGTCAGTTGATATTTTGAAGAGGAAGAGAGAAACTCTGTCGTGGAAAGATTCTGGACTGGTAGGTGAATGGAGATTTTTCTAGAAGTGTACTGCTACAGGAGGTGTGCCAGCACTCTGGGACCTGGTACTGTATTTATAAACAGGTCTCAGAATTAATGTTAATGAAGGTTTATATTTCAAGCACCTTTTGTAATACATCATTATTGTTCTGTGGTTGTCTGTTGGCTAAAGCAAAAGGGTCCTCCTGAGCCACAGTGGAGGCTTTTCAGCAGTGCAAATTGTGAATAATCCTAGAATGAGGCAAAATTACTCTTTAGGACAAAATTATAGCCTAGGTTAAAATATATTTTTAAAAAGCACACAGGACTATGACCACATAAAGGCTTTACTGGCATTTAAGATGACCTGGAAAATGAACTGTAATTTCCTTGCTAGTGAGTAACGAAACCATCTTAAATAAAGCTTATTTAACCTTAATGGAGCACCTGCACACAGCACAATATAAAATGCATCTCTTTACAAAATTGAATAGTAAGAGATTTAAATTTTAAAGTATGGTTGAGTTTTATGTTGGAAATTACAGGGCTTTGGTCCTCCAGTAACATTCTCCCTTGTGCTCAAACAATGATTGTACAAGTGGTAGTTGTACAGGGCACAGAGACTGGAGCATGGGAGGTGAAAAGAGAAGGTACAGTGCTTGTCTGACAAAAGGAAGAGGTCCAGGACTCCTTTCTAGGCTGGTGGAAGAGTTCCCTTAATGTGCAGGTCTCTTAATAAAGATTCTCATGCATTGTGAATTCAGGGTCTGGTACATTCTTCTTGAAGAAATACCAGCGGAAGATGCCTATCCAACAAGGCAAGGGCTGGTCACAGACCAGTAAGTCGGATCCCGATGCCATGCCCTTTTTAAAGGGATTTTGAAGGCAAGGGTAATTAAGACTGAGGAAAGTGGGAAGAAGACTAAACTGTAACGTGACTTTTGTCCATGGTTTTCATCTGAGTTTCTTGATAAAGTGATTGATGTCTGAGAACACTGTGACACGACAGGCATTCTGCACCACAGCCTTGTCAGCTGCTGTCCCATTAGAAATTGTTAAAGGTCAAAATGATATGTTTAAACAAGATTATTGAGATTGATAAGAATCGGAGGTAATTACAAAAATTTAATGGGTTATATTGGGAGGGAGATTTTCAGAATGAAAAAATGCCTTGGAGACCAGAGTTTAGAAAGCTCTTGTTTAACCCCTCATCAGTCATTTTGCTGTAAGAACAAAATGTTTACCTACAAAATTAGCAAGTGTGGCAAGTTTAGAAGACCTTGTTACTCTTACTGTGGCCTTGATGGTCTTACAGAAAGATTTAAATAATGCTGTAGACTGAGTAATGGTGAAACTTCTTAGCACAGCGTGCAAAGTCCAGCAGATACTCTTAGTATGGTACTAAGCTAGGGCAGAGGAACTGGTGATTTTATGAGAAAAGAAGGCTAGTAAGTGGGTTATGGGATTGGCTGTAACCTGCCAGTGTGCAGAGAGCTAATGTGGTGGTTAAATCTTTCGGGAAGATCTTTTCAATAGACACAGTGAAGCAATTTTGTTCTGTTTCTGCAGATGTCTGTGAACTTAAATTACAGTAGACAGTTCAATTTGTCTGTCGTCTCTCTGTCATTCTGCCGCTGGTGTGGGGTGGGACAGTAGGAGACATTGGGTATCAATCGAAGCATAAGAGGTTCTGACTGGATTTAAGGAGGAAGTTCTTCCCTGTGAAGTCAGTCAGGTGGTAGAACAGGTTACCCAGGAGGTTGTGCAGTCTCCATCCGTGTTTGGGGTTTTTTTCTGACTGCACAAATCACTGAGTAACCTGCTCTGACCTTGTCGCTGACTCTGCTCTGCCCTTCCAACCTAAATTATTCTGAGTATTTAAAGGTGAATGGGATGGTGAGGAGAATGCGGAAAAGAAACTAAAGATTGTAGCTTCATTAACTAAGCAGAAGGAAAGTTGAAAGAAGCTATGTTTTTCATTCCTCTGAATACCCTGGAGGGAGTAATGGATAAATATCAAAGATGCAAAATAATTAATACCGAAACAAGGTCAAGATCAAAGGACTAGAATAGAAGTTGGTTGTGAATGTACTGGGAGGGGAAACTAGAAACTTTCTTCTCAGAGGAATGAAGTTGTGGAAGGAGCCTCCAGATGAAACTCCAGGAGGGGGGAAAACACGTAATGGTTGGAGATGGACCTGTACAAGGTTATGGAAGGAATTATTTGACAAAGCAGAAGTGAGCTGTGTGTTAGAAATGTTGTGTGTTAGAATGCAGTCCAGCTCTTCTGCTGGATAGAGGAAGTCTCTGCTTTTGTACCCCCTCCCCAGTTATATATGTTTTACACTCTTGGTTTTTCTCTGTAGCATCAGGGATTAGCCACAACTGGAGAGCAGGAGTGCTGCTGCTTCTCGCTGCAGTGGCATTTTTGATCTCTCACATGGTGGCACGTGATAGTTTGTGGGTTTTTGTCTTTTACATTAAGTCTTATGTTTAAGCTAGCATATGAAGATGGTGTTTTGTAGGTGTGCTTAAATAGCTCTCATGTGATTGGCTTTGACTGCACAACGCTGGAGTTGGAGCTCTTGGCCTGCTTCAGACTTATTTTTCTATGGGAGAAATATACGTACAAGTTTTTTTGAAAAGTATGTATTAAAATTTGTCCTTAAGTGGGTGCTAACAATTCTACAGTCCAAGTAAAGTAGTTTTTCATTCAAGTGAGAAAATCCTGAACGTGTGTTATCAGATGTTGCTTCTCCAAAGATTTATAAAAAAGAAAAACTGGAGAGCAAAGATCAGTTTAAAAAATGAAACTTGAACATAAATCAAGATGGAAATGATAGAAACTAAAGAAATACGTTATAGGTTCTTTCTTAGGCAGTCAAATATGGACAGAGAAACCTACAGGAGATGGAGTTTCGGCACCAGTATGTAACTGATAAGCAACACATGGTAATATGCTTTACTAGGAAGCAGAGGCACAAGAGTCAGAGAACCCATCCATCCTTTTTCACCCCTTAACACTGAAGAGCCATGCAGTATTTCTCATCTGTGGGTATTTTGCATACTTCAACATCAAAGTCTCTGGTCTGAGGGTTTGTTTATTATCACTTTTTAAAGGAAAAAAGAACTTGCCAAGGACTGAACTAGGTATTTAAGAACCAAATTTTTTTTTTAAAAAAGTAGAAACTCAGTACCACTACTGTTAAATGCCTAATGCATTCTTGATAACTGTTAAGTGAGACTTGTAAAAATATTGGGTTGAAATGAGTTGAGTGTCTAAAGCAATGTACAAGATCCATCTTCCCAAGAGATAAATGAGAATTTTTTCCAAGTAGGTCAAACTTTAGAAAATGGAAGATGATGACTAAGGGCCCAGAGTAGCACTCGGCGCTCTCCTTCCTTCTCTCCTTCTTCCTCCTCCTCTGACCTGCCTGTGGCAGGGTTGTTTCTCACACTTCCCTCACTGCCATGTAGTGGTTTCCCCATTCGTGAACTTTTATTATTGGGTTTATTTGCCTTTACACCAGTGATGTTTAGCTTTGTGCTGTCAAAGGTTAAGGTTTTTAAAGAGTTGGGAAGCAACTTACTTCTTTTAAAAGTACATTCGTGAATCTTGATTGGACTTCAAAGCTTTGGTGTCATCTTCAGAATACCTCTCATTTGTTACTTAAAAAAAATATTTCTGTTTCTTATTTGCAGGCCTTCCCAGGTTCACCAGCCAGCCAGAGTCATCTTCTGCCTATAAAGGAAACAGTGCGGTCCTTAACTGTGAAGTCAATGTGGACCTCACACCGTTTGTGAGGTGGGAGCAGGACCGCCAGCCCGTCTTTCTGGATGATCGTGTGTTTAAATTACCAAGTGGAGCTCTGATTATCAGCAACGCTACTGATTCGGATGGAGGACTCTATCGCTGCGTCATTGAAAGCGGTGGGACCCCCAAATACAGTGAAGAGGCAGAACTCAAAATTCTTCCAGGTATCAGTCTGTTTTTCTTTTTAAGAAAAACTATTTATACGCTTTTGTTGTGACATATTACATGTTACAGAGAGGGAATTGTCTCTTTGAGTAGAAACGTTTCTGGATTTCTAAGTTTCTCGGGACTGAGTCCCATGTTTAAAATACTGTTGCAGTTACCAAAACGAATTGGTGCTTAGTCCCTCACTCTTGGGGTGCTTAAGATGAGGAATTTTTAATTGTCCTAATGTTTAAGAAATTCTCATTCTTTAATCATTAGCCCCTTCTGGGAAGTCTCCAGACATTCCCCCCCCGCCCCCCCCAAAAAGGAGGGGATGGCTTTTTATTTTGAAAAGTTTATCTATGCTTGTTGTGCTGAAATGTTTAGATTTTTTTTAGGAACGAAAGCCCAGTGCTGATGTAAACTGTTTCTACAGTTAGCATATTCTATTTCAAATGACATCACGAGAAGTTTTGAAAATGGATCCAGGATAAGTCAGGAATGTGAATTGCACTTTGCGAAACTAGGGAAGTACGTGCTGTGTTTTGCATGGGTTTTCTTAATTATTTCCAGACCTTTATGTTCTCTTCTGAATTCATCTCCGTGTTGGAATTCTGATTTGATTTTTACTGCTTGGAGAACTGCTGAATTTCTACGTTGTGGAAGTTTTCAGGGCTAGGCAGGGCAATGTCACGGGTGGCCTGTCCCAGTGTGGGCAGCAGGTGGACTTGGAACAGTGTGACTGTGTGACTTTCCTGTCTAAAATGTTAAAATGTACTTTAAGGTGCGCCAGTTTTGCAATTGCAGCCTTCCCTCTTTTAGAATTGAGGTGTTTGCTAGGCTTCAGAAATCAATCATTCTTAAATTTTTTTGTTTGGGTTTTTTTGTTTGTTTAAGTTCTCCAGCCTTCCTGAAAGGAAAGGCTTATCCTTTCTTCGGCCAAGGATCTAGTTTTTGATGAAGCACTTTTGGAAAAGATGCTTAATTTAATTATTTTAGTTTCTGTTGCCTCTCAAATGAATGCTAAAGACTTTTTTGACAATTGAAGATTTCCTGGTAAACTTCCACGTTGTGTTGATTTTTTGAATTCTTTTGGCACCACATATAGTTGACTTGTTTTATAATGTTTTTTTGAAGGTGATTAAATATTTCTGTGCTTGGTCTTGAGTCTGAAATTGATAGTGGCATTCTCTTAAATCTTTCCCAGGAGGCTTTTTTAAACTGACTTTTTTTAAAAAAAAAAAAAGTGTTGCACAGAAAGCTCTGTTAGTCTTGAGTGGCCCCATAGTTGATTATTTGGTCTGAGATGCATTTGAGAGAAGGATTTGAATTAAATTTTTCTTTACTCATTTTGTTCCATTTTAAAATCATTATCTGATGGGGGCCTGACAGTGACCCTACTCCTCTGCCCCTAAATCTATGAAATACACCCAGTGTGCTTGCATTTCAGTGGTCTGCATCCACGGACGACGTTCTGCTTTTTCTGATAGTGAGCTTCCTTAGAGCCTTCAGTCTGCCTTCCTTCTGCTGCCCTGCAAGCAGGAGGATGTGTCGCTGAGCTCTGCTACTTGTTAGCAAGTGCTTTCAAATGTAGGAATGCAAGGAAGGAGAGAAAAATAATTTAATTTTTAAATCCAGTTTCCACTAACCTGAGAACTGAGCTGCTTTTTGTGATTTTGGAGCATTAACAAGTTCTGGCTCCAGCAAATTGTGCCGATTCCTCTCCCTTGTGCAACGATGACTTGCTGGCAATCTGTTCTATCGATTTATTTATTTATTTATTTATTTTTCAACTTGGCTTACTCTATCTGGCCCTGTGGGTCACTCCCACTGCATCACCCTCCACACACAATCTTATTTCTGGAGCAAGTGGGCTGGTTCCCTCTAACAGGGGAGGTGAGCTGAGCTGCTGAGATAGTTTAGGGGAGGGCCCAATTCAAAGCAAACCCAAACTAATTCAGAGGATTCACCATTTCCATAAGGATGGTGGATTGTTGTCTTGGTATAAATCTTGTGTCACTTAAGCATACACATGATCTAGTTAATTTATTTTGCTTAGGGTTGACTCTTGGCTGCACTAATTTCATTTTCTAGTTGCATAAAAACACTTTCTCAGGCAGCTACCTTTGTCAAGCTGGACAAAATCAAACCTGTACCTTTCTTTACTAAATCTCTACTAGCTGATGGAAGTTCCAGTTTCAGGGCTGTAACTTTCAGCTGGAATTGTTGTTCAGGGAGTTTGAGGTGGAGCATCAATTTGTGTGTCTGGGCAAGGTCATAGAGAGCTGTTCCTGTGGAAGGCTGGGAGAGTGTCTTAGAGAAAATGAATGTCTTGCAGAATGAATCCCGTGAATGTGAAGGAAAGAAGTTAGATGTTGTGGGTTTTTTAATATTATCATCTTTTGATGCTGCATTTAGTAACAACTTGGTCATTTACAAAATATTTGCAGATCCCGAGGTGCCACAGAACGTGATGTTTGCAAGGCAGCCCTCTTCACTTACCAAAGTTACTGGGCAAAGTGCGGTTCTTCCATGTGTTGCTGTAGGATTTCCAGCTCCATATATCAGGTGGACACGAAATGAAGAAGAACTTAACACGGAAGGGTGAGTAATGACTAGCACATATGCTTTTATATAACAGTAGGAATCCAGCCAGAGGTACGATTTTTAGATTAAAGTACAATTTGCTTCCTACGTAAAATTAAACCAGGAGAAGAGAAGCTGTCTGTCAAATACTGGAGGGCTTCTTGACTGGTTGTTACAAATAAGGTAGTGCATGACTCGTAGAACAATATCTTATTTTTTTTTTTGCAGATATCTGAAACCAAGAAATCTTACTTGAAGCGGGAAGGTTATTAAGAATGTATTATATTTAGATTGCCACTGGAGTAAAAGAAGCAATTAAGACAATAAGAACAGTGCAGAAAAGTTTCATGTTGGCATATTATCTGTGTGAAGCCCAGCATTTGCTTTACTCTTTCTGCAGTGAAGGGCTCCAGTATGTGGCTAAATGTTCCCTAAGAATTTAAATGTTTAAATCAGGATTACATAATTTCTTGTTAAACCAAAGTATTAAAATATTAGACATGATTAGAAAACAAAAAAGTGAGCTTTCAGGAATG